TAAAAATGTGTGTGTGCATATGGTAATATGTGTACAATATGTGTATGCAGATGCATGTCCACGTGTGTGGGAACATGTGGAGACCAGAGAAATGTTGGGTGTCTTACTCTATTGCTTTTCACCTTATTTCTTGAGACAGAGTTTCTCGCTGAATCTGGACCTCACCAGTTGTCTAGACTGGCTGGCCAGCAAGCCCCTGGGATTTTCTTATCTTCGCTTGAACACTGCTGGGGTTGCAGACACATGCACCCATCCCCTTCTTTTACATGGGTGCTGGGGATTCAAACTCAGGTCTTCATGTTTGAGCACCAAACCAGTCTCAAAAATCTGTTTATTATTGTTTTGAGACAAGGCTGGCCTTGAATTCTCTATGTAGCTGAAAATGACCTTGAACTTCTTTTTTTGATATTTTTTATTCACAGAGTGTTTCATACATGAGTGTTGTATTTACATCATTTCCACCACTCCCAGTTCTCCCTCGAACTCTGGCTATGTCCCCTCCTCTCTGAATTTCATGTCCTCTTCTTTGGTATTATTGTTACATACACACACATTTTAAAATAAATAAATACCAAGTGCAGAGTCCATTTAGTGAACTCTGTGTGTACTTGGGTTGGGGCTGACCACTTGGGATTAAGCCTTGACCTTCTTATATTCCTGGTTCCACTTCCCGAGTGCTAGAATTACAGGCATGCATCACCACACCTGGTTTATGTGGTCCTGGGGACCACAAACCTAAGGCTTTGTGCCTGCTAGGCAAGTACTTTACTAATGGAACTACATCTCCAACCCCAAAATATTTTTTAAAAGATTTGTGTTTATTTTTGTGTATGTGTATATGTATGTCTATGAGTAAAATGGCTGGTGATACTGGAAGTATATTTTTATTTATTTATTTATTTTTATTTTATGTGTATGAGTGTATTACCTGCATGTATGTAAGTGTACCCATGTCATGCAGTGCTTGCAGAGGACAGAACAGGGTGTCAGATCCCCTTGAACTAGAGTTATGGATGGTTGTTAGCCACCATGTGGGTGCTGGGATTCAAACCTGGGTCCTCTGCAAGAGGAGCCAGTGCTCTTAACCACTGAGCCATCTCTCCAACCCCTGTATGTTAGTTTTTAAAGATATTGCCAAACTATTTTCCATCTTCCATTGAGAGAGAGAGAGAGAGAGAGAGAGAGAGAGAAAGAGAGAGGGAGAGAATGTCATGTGGGTGCCAGGGATCCAAATTTGGGTCCTCATGCTTGCTCAAACAGGCTCATTCAGCCATCTTCTTAGCCTCTTACATTATCTCAGCAATATATGAATGTTCTAGTTGCTTTGTTTCTCACCAACACTTGATATAATCAGTCATTTTCGTTTTAGCCATGCCAGTAGGTATGTCATAATATATTGTGGTTTTGAAGGCATTTTTTTCCTGACTGCTAATAATGTTGAATGTCTTCTCATGCCATACACGTATTTTTATTTGTTTTTCATATTTTTGAGACAAAGTCTCATATTGTAGGCCAGGTTAGCCTGGAACTCACTCTGTAGCCCAGGCTGGCCCCCAAATTGTGGCTATTCTCCTGTTTCAGGCTATTAAGGGCTAGGATTACAAATGTGAGTCACCATACCTACCTGTCATCCATGTATGTTTTTGGTGGATCATTTATTCAGATATTTTGTCAAATTAATTGGCCTATTATTTAATCATCATATTATTGAGTTTCAGTAGTTTTTATATATTCTAGATAGATGTCTTTTGTCAAATATATGTTCGATAAATCTCTCTCTGTCTCTCTTGGACCTAGGGCCTTGCATGGGCAAGTGTTGTACCACTGAATTATATCCCCAGCTAGTAAATATTTTATCTTAGTGTCTTCCTGGCTGTTAAATGTTAAGAGAAATATAGCCAAAAGATTTCAACAGACCTCTTTCTCAAGCTGTCACAAGAACATACAAAATACAAAGATGCATAAATTTATGCTTAATTTCTACATAATGACACTTGCATCAGACTCTGTTGTTACTTTTTGGCTAAGTTGCTTTACGCTTTTTCACGATTGGGCGCAGTGAGGAAGGGACCCTGTGCATTCCCTTTCCAAGGCTGACTTCTCAGCGGTGTTCATTTCAAGGAGCTGAGTGAATGGAAGGAGGAAATCACGAACAAGCCAGGCATGATGGCTCCTACTGTTACTCCAGCACTCAGGAGGCCGATGAAGGACAATTACCTGGACTTTGTGAGGTCCAGGCCAGCATGCCCTTTCGAGCAAGAACTTGTCTCAAAAAAAAAAAACCAGAAAGAAAACAACAACAAAAAACCCAAATCAATGATGTTTCTCCCTTACAAGTACTAATTGGGTCCAGCCCTGCCTAGCTTCCAAAATTAGGCATGTTCAGGGTGGCCTGGCTTTAGATAACAAGTAGTCTTTTTCTCTACTGTCTGATGGGTCTGTCTGTCTCATGCATCCCACTCACTTCAAAGAGGCAGACTAGGAACTGTTAAGAGTATGGCTCTGGAATCTTCCAAGGGGGAAATCTGGCTCCCTGTTTATTAACTGTATGACCCTGGTAGTCACTCAATTTCTCTGTATCTCAGTTTCAGATATAAAATGAAAATAAAAATGGGGCCTACCGGAGCTGGAGAGATGGCTCAGCAGTTAAAAACACTGGTTGTTCTTGCAGAAGACCTGGGTTTGAATCCCAGCACCCACATGGCAGCTAACAGTTGTCTGTAACTCCAGTCCCAGGGGATCTGACAGCCTCTTCTGACCTCTGAGGGCATTGCATAACACAGGTGCACTTACCTACACACAGGCAATACACGCATACACATAAAATAAAAAAAAATTTAAAAAATTAAAAAAAGAGGGGAGCCTACCCAAAGCACTCACTGTGAGAACTGCATAATGAAAACACAGGAATTATTGAAAGGGTTCCTGGTACAGAATAAACCCTCTAGAAACGCTGGGGCTTACTGTGATGCACTGTCTGCTCAGGCTGGTGTTTTTATAATAATACTCATCACTGGCTTATATCTTTTTATATATTGAACATAAGAATAATAACTAAGCATTATTAAGTGTCTTATACATTGAATATCGATCTATCTAGGGGAAGAAGGGGTTATAAGATTATTGCACATTGGTACACTGCAATAAAATAGAAAAAATGAGAGAGAGGGAGATAGAAAGACAAAGAGAGAGGAAGGAGGAGGAGGAAGGGGAGGAAAAGGAGGAGGAAGAGGAAGAGAAGAGGAGGAGGAAGAGGAGGAAGAAGAAGAGGGGGTGGAAAGTTGGTAGAGAAAATGTCTTTTAGGTGAAGTAACTTGTCTGGAACACACAGGCCATTAAAAGTAGCAAAACTGGAATTCAAACCCAAGGCCTCTGATTTCCAAATCTTGCACTCTGCCACACATTTCTTGCATTGTTAACTTCTTGCGTGTTTGTGTGTGAGCCTGAGAAGCAGCAGCTCCCCTCAGTAAGTGGAAATGTGTGACTTTATAATATAATACAGGAGGATCCTGGGGCTTGCTGGAGTGTTCTGTGTACTTTCTCTCTAAGAAATGCCTTGCAGCCCATCCGTCACTGAGCCATTGTTTTCAGCACCCGGAAAATGAGCTCCTGTTCCTTGAAAGTAGAGAAGGAAGCCAAGAAATCAGCCAGAGGGGAAAAACCCTTATGTTTATTAAAGGACGTTTATAGTCTATTTACATTGTTCGAAATCCTCTTCTAATTGTAACGTATGTACATTTGATTTGTGAAAACTTTTCAGGCTAAGCAACGTGCTATTCAAATAGAAAACAAAGAGTGTCTTCTGATCTTTGTGAATGTACACATGGATATTTAGCACAGACTTTTCAGTCTAGGGCAATCAACTTCTTCACTGGTAGTAAGAAATGTAGAAAGGAAAGTTTAAGTTCTCAGTATGAACCTGTTGGAATCAGACTAAAATATGTAACATAAGCAGAGGAAATGGAGATGGATCATGAGCTCATTAGACCTCTGATTTGGGGGTCACAGAACCAGTTCAGATTTACTTCACAGCACAGATGGGAGGTATTTATCTATAGATAGTGTTAATACTGTCTCTTGAATGCTAGGTCAGTGCTAGACTTTAATCTCCAAACTGTAAAATTTCAATCTATTTTAGATTTGGGTTGAATCTTTCACTTTACCATAAAGCAACAGCTGTCTGTTTTTAAGTGGGTGGATTTTCCCCCCATATGATTAGTTTTTATTATGTTAATGTAAAAAAACTAGGAAACCATCCCTGGTTTACTTATGTGCTTTATAGAGATAACAGTTTTTTAAATACTCACACTGCATTAGTATTCATAGTCTTTTTCTTTTTTTCCCTTTTTCGGCAGTGCTAGGGATGTAACCCAGAACCTTGCACATGCTAGGCTCTACCACTGAGCTACATCTCCAGCCCTTTATTTATTTATTGAAATATTTTATTTATTATTTAATTTTATACATATGAGTGTAATGCCTGCATGTATGTATGTACACCCGTGTCGCGCAATGCCCACAGAGGTCAGTTCCCCTGGAACTGGAGTTACAGATGGTTGTTAGCCACCATGTGGGTGCGGGCGATTGAAATACCCAAGTCCTGTGCAAGAGCAGCTAGTGCTCTTAACAGTTGAGCCATCTCTCCAGCCCTCAGCCCTTCAATTTTTTATATATATGGATAGTATTCCCAACTAGTGGGTGTGGTGGCTCACCTATAATCCCAGTATTTGGGAGGCTGAGGCAGCAACATTACTATGAGTTCAAGGCCGGCCTGGATGACATGGTGAGTTCTAGGCTAGCTGGGACCATATAATGAGACCAAGTCTCAAAACAAAATAAACCCACAAAACCCTCCTTAGTCAAGACAGTGTGAGCAGAGTTACCATAGCTGTAACCCAGAAACCATTTGTAAGGAGGTGCTGAGTTTGTCATCCCTGGTAGGCAGGAATAACAGGTGGGGTGGGTTCCTTCTTAACAGTGTCTGTCTGTTTCTTTTGCAGTGTCTGGTACTTCTAGGTTAGCCCTGGCTGAAGACATATGGTTACTCTAAGATTATCTTAATTTCTTTCTGCCTAGAAGGAGCAGCCGCCATTGCCATGTTACTTCTGGGGCAGGAATACTATTTCTGTTTGGCTGTTTATCTCACTGTTATCATATAAGTAAACCCTGGGTCTGATCCCAGCATTATACTACATGTTACCAGTCACCCTTCCAAGCAGTGAAATGTCTTTGACCTGAGTAGCTGGGATTGCAGGTATGAGCCATCATGCCAGGGTAAACATCTTTGATCTTAATGGAGCTTAATTCTCACTTCTAGGCTGGATCATTGTACCTTTCCACGAAATTGAATGTTAACAGTTTACTTTTTTTTTTTTTTTAAACGTGTATGGGTCTTTTGTGTACCTGTTTCTAAGTGCACCAAGTATGTGTAATGTCTGCAGAGGTCAGAAAGGGTTTTGGATCCCTTGAAACTAGAATTGCATATGGTTGTTTGTTAGCTGCCATGTGGGTGCTGAGAAATGAACCCAGGCCTTCTGCAAGAGCAGACGGTGCTCTTAACCACTGAGCCATCTCTCTAGCCCCAATAGCGTGTTTTTTGAAGGCATTTCATACACTAATATTTGTAAAGTTCTTTTATTTATTTAATATTTTGTTTTTATTTTATGTGTATGTGTATATTGCCTGCATATATTGTAAGTACACCTGTGTCTTACAATGCCCTCAGAGGACACAAGAGGCTGCCAGATCCCGTGTAACTGGAGTTATGGACCGTTGTTCGCTGCCATGTGGGTTCTGAGATTTGAACCTGGGTCTTCTGCAAGAACAGCCAGTGTTCTTAACCACTGAGCCATCTCTCCAGCCCTTCTTTAAAAGCTTATTTAGTAGTTGGGTATGGTGACTCACCCCTGTAACCTAGCACTCAGGAGGCTAAGGCAGGAAAATTGCCATGAGTTTCAGGCAAGTCTAGGCTACAGAGTAAGACTATGCCTCAAAAGAAAACTGATCAAACAAACAAAAAAATCCAAGGTGCTGGTAAGAGAGCTCAGTCAGTAAAGTACTGTCCATGTAAGCGTGAGGCTCCCCAGTGCCCATGTAAAAAGCCAGACACAGCAGCTTGTGGCTGTAACCCCAACACTTGGGCGAGCAGGGGTGGGGTGGAGTGTCAAGTACAGGAGGATCCCTGGAGCTCATTGCCAGCCAGTCTAGCCTAATGGGTGAACTCTAGGTTCAACCAGAGAGACCTTGTCTCAAAAAAAAAGATGGAGCTTGATTGAGGAAGATACCTGACACTGACCTCTGATATCCACATGCATGCACACAACTTCACAAACACATACATATGTGATACACAAATAAAATGTAAAAAAGAAAAAGTAAAAAAAAAACTAAACAACAACGACAGCAACAACAGTAAAACCAAACGAGGCTCACGAGCACACTTATAGTCCCAGCACTTGGGATAGCCTGTGTTTATTCGCCTCCCATCCTCTTGTAGTACTCAGTATTCTACATTCAGGCTGACTTAAAAAAAAAATCTCTAGGGGCTGGCGGGGGAGGGGGCGGGGAGCTCAGCGGTTGAGAGCACTGACTGCTTTTGCAGAGGACTCAGAGTTCGATTCCCAGCACCCACATGGCGGTTCCGAGCTGTCCTTGACTCAAGTTCCGGGGGGATCCAAGGCCCGCCTCTGACCTTCGCGGCATCGCACGACATCAGTGCACTCTGTGTGTGTATGTGTGTGTGTGTGTGTGTGTGAGAGAGAGAGAGAGAGAGAGAGAGAGAGAATGTGGTACTTGTGGTTCCGAGTCTGGTTTATTTCACTTAATGTCCTTCAGTTCCATCCATTTTGCTGCTTACCTCAGGATTTTATTTTATATAACTGAATAATATTATAGTGCGTATACATACCACATTTTCTTTATCTGTTCCTCCAGTAATAGGCATCTCGGCTGACTCCTTATCTTGGCTATTGTGAATAGTGTTGCAGAAAGCTAGGTCATGCAGGTTCTCTTGGGCATGCTGATTTTATTTCCCTTGGATTTGTACCTGGAAGTGAAATAGCTGGACCTTAAGGTATTCCGTTTCTAGCTTTTGACAGTAATTACTCTGATTAAGAAGAAATGATATATGTAGTTTTGATTTGCATTTTTTGTGGCTGATGATATTTAGTATCATATATATGTATTCATTTGATTGCTTTTGAAAAGAGCTTATTCAGAATAGTACCCATATTTTGATTGGATCACTTTTTATTTTAGTTTTTTTATAGTTTTTATTAAAAACATTTTTAAAATTATTTTTATTTTGTGTCTGAGTGTAATGCTTGCATGTAGGTAGGTGCACTCCTGTCATGCAATGCCTGCAGAAGTCAGAAGAGGGCATCACATCTCCTGGACCTAGAGTTATGGATGGTTGTTGGTCACCATGTGGGTGCTGGGAATCAAATTTGGGTCTTCTGCAAGAGCAACCAGTGCTCTTAACTGCTGAGCCATTTCTCCAATCCCTGGTAGTTTTTTTGTTTTATGAAGTTCTTTTTGAGTTCCTTACATAGTCCAAATATTAATCCAGATTAATAGTTGGCGTATATTTTCTCTCATTCTATAGGTTATTGACTTTTTTCTTTTGATTCCATGCAATCCTATTTGTCTTTTCCTGGTTTTCATTTCCTGTGTTTGGGTATTGTATAAAAAAATCATTGAACTCATTTGTTTAACAACTTAAGTGGCTTCTTATTGTTCTTGGGTTAGATCCAATATCTGAAGTGTTTTGCCTATGTTTTTGTCTATTTTTGCTTTTGTTTGTTGGTTTTACATAGCTCGAGCTGGCCTCAAACTCACTGTGTAACCAAGGCTGACCTTCAACTCCTGATCCTCCTTCCACCTCCCAAGTGCTGGGATTATAGGACTGCATTACCATGCCTAGCTCTGTTTTCTGTTTTGTTTCGTTTTAATAGCAAGATCTGTACCTCCTAGTTATAAAATGTTCATGCATGTACAGTTTTTAAATTTTTTAGGGTGATTGTGAAAGCTTCTTTTTGCTTTTTTAACTTGCCTCTGGCTGATGAAGATTTCAACAGGAAGTAAGTACAGTTCTTCAGATGCTATCTACAAAAATGTCACACTCTGACAGAACCTAGCAGAGTCTCTGCAGCTTAGTTATAGTAACACTACAAATCACATACCAGAGAGATGATCCTGAGAATTGTCACTGGGAACTAGGGAGCAGGATATCTAAGATATTCACATTTGTCACCCTGGGCAACCTTTTCTTTTCTTGGTTTGCGGTGCTATGAATTGAACTCAGACCTTGCACATGCTAGGCAGTTCTCTACCATTGAACTGCATCCCTAGGCTCTGGGCAATTTTTTCCTATTTCTGAAAGGGCATCATATATTTTTTTTAATTTACAATTTTTTTATTTTGGAGAATTTCATACATGAATATTGTCTTTATATCATTTCCATTCCTTTCAGTCCCCCCTCCAATTCCTCCTTCAGTCACTCCATTTCCTCTCAATTTCTTGTTCTCTTCTTTGATTATTATTGTTACCTATACATGCATACATTTATAAATAGACAGACAGATAGATAGATAGATAGATAGATAGATAGATAGAGCAGTGAATTCATTTGGTGGTGCTTGTGTGTACTTATGTTTAGAACTGTCTATTTGGGATTGGATAACCTCTTAGGGAGCTAGTCCCTGGAGAAAACTGATTCTTCCTCCTTCAGTATCCATTGATTGCCTGTAGCTCTTTATCTTGAGGTAAGACTCTGTGACATTCCCCATGTCCATCTTGTCGTGTCAATTGGTTTTTGTCAGTATGCAGATCTTATTATACTATCATTCTGTGGCGGTTCATTGGTGCAATGTCCCCATCACTTCTAGAATGCATTAATTAGTAGTAGGAGCCTTGTCCCTCTGGCTCTTACATTCTTCAGCCCTCTCTTCCAATGATGTTCCCTGAGCCTTAGGTATAGAGGTTGCATTGCAGATGTGTCATTTAGGGCTGGACATCTCACAATCACTTAGTCTCTGCATTGACCAGTTGTGGGAGAAAAAGAAGCTTCTTTGGTGAGAGGTGAGAAGTACACTTGTCTGTAAACATAAGAATAAGCATTTATAATACAGTGAGAAATTACACTGGTCTGAGGAAGTGACAGGAATAGGATTTTCTCCAGATTCTATGATCTCTCGAGCCTTGTGTACTTCACTATGTTTAAAGTAAAACACATGATTTCCCTCTCATTAACTGGGTCTTAAGTCTACCTAGACAGCTGTTTATTACCCCCAACATAAAAGTGCTACTGCTACACCAATATACTGGGTCAGCCATTGTGGTCTGAAGACTTTATAGATGGGTAGGTTTTTCTCCCTTGGTGGCTTGCATAGTGTGATACTGTGAGAGTGAGTCTTCAGGAAGGAGACTTCCAGGTCAGTTCCACTGCAATTGCTCCAAGTTCTGGGTGTGAAGTATGTCGTGTCTTCAACTATAAGATCTTACCTTCAAGTTCTTGGGAAGAAACCAAGGGCTGTGGCAATAAGCCTGTATTACTTTGGAGTCTCTTTCAGTTCCCTGACCAACAACTCAAGGGAGGTTTCCCCATGCCCAGCACTGTAATTTTAGTTGTATAGTCATCAGCTATATACATGCACTTAAATTTATATAGTATGCATATTTTTCAGTAGGCTTATTAAATATTACGTTTTGCTTTGGTTTTTCACACCACTTAAGCATTATTTTCATCTCTCTTTCTTCTCTCTGCCACTGTATGGCTCTCCCTCCTTTCTCCCCAATTAAAATCTACCCCCATTTCTCCTTTCATAACTCCCGTTTCCTAATATCCCCTCTCTCTCAAGCTCCTGCTTCCCTCTTCCCCCACAGTTATTTTCCATTTTCCTGGCTCCTGCGTTTACACCAGGATATATACTCACACCCAAGGATTTGGAGCTAGGATCCACAAATGGGAAAGAACATGCAGCACTTATTTTTCTGAGTCTGGGTTACCTCACTTAGTTTAACAGTTTTTAGTTTCATCCATTTACCTCAAATTTCATGATTTTGTTTTTCTTACTGCTGAGTAGATCTCCATAGTGTAAATGTACCACGTTTTCATTATTCATCAGTTGAAGGACATTTATGTTGTTTCCATTTCTGAGATATGTGGAAAGAGCAGCAACAAACATGGCTAGGCATGTATCTCCGTAGTAGGACACTGAGTCCTTTGGGTATAGGTTTCATGATTTTTTTTTTTTTGGTCTTTTTTGAGACAGGGTCTCCCTGTAGCTCCAGCTGGCCTGGAACTCACTATGTAGACCAGGCTGGCCTTGAACTCACAGAGATCCACCTGCCTCTGCCTCCCGAGTGCTGGGATTAAAGGCGTACGCCACCATGCCCGGCAGGTTTCATAATTTTTATCCCTTAGGTTCTCATGGCTAATGCTACACCAGGGTGAGAACTTAGAAACCACATTGTTTCTGTTTGTTTTCTGTTCTGCACATTGCAGCATGTGCATGATAAGGCAAAATAACCTTTGCTCTGTGATGCTGCAAGAATTTAAGTGGAAAATCAAGTCCATCTTAGCCCTTCTCACTTGAAGAAGTCTTAAGCTGCTGCTAGAAAGTTTTGTTCTTTGCTGTTCTTATAAGCATTTAAGATCAGCTCTACAGTTCTCTTGGTTGGCAAATATTTTCTGCTCTATGCCCTATTTGACAGATTAGAGAATAATGTGTTAAGATAAAGGCACATGTTTTTATAAGCTCTGTAGAAACATCTAGAGTGCATGGTCCCTTTTCCCTTTAATGAAACTTAAAAAATTGAGGGACACTTTCCTTACTACTTGATCTCTTCCTAGGGCTCCTGGCTGCTTTCCCCATCATCGTTGCAGCATGAGCAAGCTGGTGAGCTCCTCGCAATGCAGAGCATTGTCTTCACCTTAGTATCCCTGATGCCTACAATAGTGACTGACTCAAAATGCTTTTATTATTATTATTTGTAGTGCTTGGAATCAGACTCAGCATGTAGTACTTTACCACAGAGCTACACCTCCAACCTCCTCTCCATATTTTAAATGAATAGTTAGCAAACAGAATAAACATCTCTTAGATTCTTTTTTGGAAGAAGAAGGACCACTAGTACCATCAAACCCAGGTCCTTGCACATGTCAGCATGCACTCTACTTCTGAAGTCCCCCAGTCCTCAAATTCTCTTAGCACGAGATGGGTTCCAAATACTAAAATGTCTCAGTGGGAAAGAGAAGGGCACAATGTTTACTAAGTGCCAACATACATAAGCACCATATGGCTATTTATTGTCAGCTAAGCTAAGACTTAGCTACTCAGTAGAGTGAGGCAGAACGATCACTTGAGTACAGGAACACACACACACACACACACACACACACACACACGCATGCATATCAAGCCTCTGTTTCAATAAATAGCTAGGTGTGGTAGCTCAGGCCTCTAATTCTAGCACTGGGAAGGTTGAGGCAAGAAGATCCGCTCTAGTTCAAGGCTATCCTGTACTAAATGGCGAGTTCAAGGCCAGCCTGAGATACATTGTCTAAAAATAAATAATCAAAAAGAAAGAAAACCAAAGAACAAAAGAATTAAGTTCCACAACCACTTGTGACTAAAGAATTAATATTTTGTCATTGCTATACTATTTCTGCTATTGTTTACTTGGGTCAGGTAAGCCTCTTCACAGATGAAGAAGTCCTCCATTCATAGCTATATTTACATACTGATGTGTAAAAACACCACAGATGTGACTTGTATGTGATGAGGACCCATGCTCTTCTTGCCTGTTTCAGGTCTCCCCTTTCCTTAGTGGTTTTTGGCATCAATGCTTTGTTTACCAAACCTGCTCAGTCTTTAGCTCCCATTGTGATACTGTGTATGCTGAACCAGCATGGATATAGAGTCAAATGACAGGTAAAGTGACAAAACATTTGCAGTCATGCAAGCAAATTCACCCTTTTACATTAACTGGTAAGAAATTATCTTGAACTTTGGATGATGTTAGACATTAACACATAAATCTTGAATAAGCTATAATAAAAATCATTAATATGAAGGATCTCTAAGAGTCTTTAATACTATTACATATACTATGTACATAATCCACACAAGACTAATATTGATTGCTTTGTCTGAGTCATTCACTCATTCATTATTTCATTTCACAAATGTTTTTGAGGACTTAAATACCATGATCAATGGTATTGGGAATTCAAGATGAATAAGGGACCTCCAAAGGACTTCTGACTAAAATCTACCATGAGAGGGCCCCACCAAGGGCTGGGAATATAGCTTAATAGTAGAATACTTGCCTAGTGTATGCAGGGCTCTGGTTTGATCACTAGTATCATGAAGATTAAAAGAATCCTACCAGAAGTATATGAGTATTGTGGTTATGTGGAGGAGAGTTCCTTAGTTCATTCTGTGTGGGGTCAGGAAACATTTCACAGGAGAGTGAATCTATAGATCAAATTGGGAAGAATTGACACCTCACAAGAGTAACGCTTCCTATTTATAAACAGGGATCATTTCTATATACAGTTAGTCTTTTGATTTCTTTCATCAGTTTTGTAGTTTTCCTTATGTAGATCTTATGTATTTTTATTAGACTTATTTCTAAGCCTTTCGCATTTTGGGGGGCTAATGTAAATGGCACTGCATTTATAATTTTAAATTCTACTTGTTTACTTCTTTTTAATTAACTTTTTAAAATTAATATTATTTCTATTATATGTGTATGAGTGTTTTGTCTGCACATATGTAAGTGCACTACATGCATGCAATGCCCCACAGAAGCCAGAAGAGGGTGTCCCCTTCTTCTGGAACTGGAGTTACGGATGGTTGTTAGCCACCATGTGGGTGCTAGGAATCTTCATTCTTGACACTGGTCAAAAGTAAATCCAAACTCTCTTTTGAGACTCAAAGTGGTCTCTTAAGTATAAGTCCCTGAAAAATAAAAAAGCAAATTACATACTTCTAACATACAATAGGACCAAATCCACATTCCCATTCCGAAAGGGTGGAATGGAGACATAGTGAGGAAACACTGCACCAAAGCAAGATTGAAAAGCAGCAGGGCAAACACCAAATTCAGTAGCTCCATGTCTGATGTCTGAGACTTTATTTTCAAAGGGCTTAGGTGGCTCAGCTCCCCAGCTTTGCTGTATGCAACATACATCTGTCTTGGACTGGTACCACTCCCTGTATGCAGCTCTCCTTGGCAGATGTCTCATGGCTCTGGCATCTCTAACATCTTGGAGTCTCCACTGCCAACCAGGCTTCACTCTCACAGAGTCACACAATGGCCTCTGTAGGGTCTTTTGGGCTCCTCAGGCCTTTTTTACACAGGCCCTGCTACATCATGCCTGGCCTCAGGGTCTCTTTGAAACCATGGGAGAGAACCAATGCCCCCCCCTCCTCAAATGACGCTGCCAAGTTTGGCTGACAGCTTGGGTTGGACCTTGCCCTGCCTGCTTCCTCCACAGCCTCAACAGATTTTGTGTGTTGTAGTTTTTGGGAGAAGAAAACTAATTAGGTTATTTCCTTTCACAAGGAAGCTTCACTGGGTGGTCTTGCACTGAAGGTACTCTTTCCTTTGTTCAAGTGCACATCTGGAGGCCTCTCCTTAATGACTCCAATAATCTTAACAAAGAGAGCCTTTCCTTTAGCAATAACCCTTGGCTCTAACATGATTAAGTTTTATAATGCTCTTTTTCTCTCTGAGGTGTATGTTTTGTATTTCTTTCTGCCCCACTTGTTCTTTTTCATTGCAGATCTTCATAGTGTTCACTATTAGTAACCATAGCACTGATTCTCTATTAGAATGCCTTATAATTTCCTCTGCCAAAGAAATAAGTCATTACTTTTCAACTTGGCCTCAGGCAAGTTCTTAGGCCTGAGGCAGACAGTAGCCAGACTCTGTCAAAATATGCCAGTTGCTATTTAAGTCTTTGTTTCCCTCTGAGACTACCTTGCTCTCAGCACTACTATCTTACAGGTTCCTACTAGAATGGCCCATTAAGCTCTGCTTACCGCATTCAACCATCTTTCTAGTTCAAACTCCCAGAGTCTTCTGTATTTCTCCAAAAATCATGGTCAGGTTCTTCACAGCAACACCCCACTTCTGGTAACAACTTCTGTATTAGTTACTTTTTCTGTTGCTGCAATAAAGTAACTTATAGAAGGAAGAGTTTATTTGGCTTATGGTTCCAGAAAGATAGGAGTCCATCATGGAAGTGGGGGATGGTGGCAGAGGTGACCTGAGCATAAAGCTGAGCCTCACATCTTCAAGCAGGCATAGGAAACAGAGAAACTGGAAGTGTGAAACCCTCCTCCGTGGCCCCCTGCCCTGGACTCCCGAGACGGCTGCCCCTCTTTAGGACTAACTGCTCTTTCTCGCTTCTGTAAACTGCTTGACTGCTTGGCTGAAGGGACAAACTGTATTGACCCCATTTTGACTAGCTGTTTCAGGCAAGCCTGAACATACCCAAGCATGTTGTGATCTCCACCTACCACCCCCACCCCAGGAGGCTATAGATCAAGCAAGTCCAGGCATATAGCAGCCTTATAAGGTAGAAACAGAGACTTCTGGCCCCACAGATAACAGCACATTCCACAGCCCTGAGGGTAGCACCCACCAATGAGAAACCTCCAGAAGTACATTCCTTGTAACCAATCAATTCAAAAGTGTGTTGGTGTGCAAGGGCTCCTTGGACCGATCAAGATGTGACTCTGTTATTCTCCTCCTCTCTTTGTCTAAAACCTATAAAAAGCTTCCTCCCCCCTGCAATTGGGGCTCTCAGTTCAGCTTGGTGGGCGAATGCTGTAATTCTTTCTTGCTGACTGCTCTGGGAGCCTGAGCTTAAGCCCAAATAAAGACTCTTTATTCTTGCATGCTCTCTGGACTCCGTGGTGATTCTTGGGGATCCGTCCACTGGGCACAACAGGAAGCAGGATAGGGCTTTGAACTCTCAAAGCCCATCCCCAGTGACATCCTACCTCCAGCACAGCCACATTTCCTAAAGGTTTCATGACTCTCCCCAAAACAGTGCCAGGAACTGGGGACCAGGTGTTCAAATACTTGGATTCTCATTGGGGGACATTCTCATTCAAGCCACCACAAATGAACACTTGTAGATTTAACTGTTTCTATTTCACCACAATAGCTTTATCATGTATTGATCAGCGTGTCTTATCCTTCTATCCATCACTCTAAATGTCTTAGATTTTTCCACACAACTTTTTATAATGGAAAAATTTAAACACATAAAATAGTTTTAACAGGGTGTAGTGGTGGTGCATGTCTGTAATCCCTGCCCTCAAGAGGCAGAGGCAGGTGGGTCTCTGTGAGTTTGAGGCCAGCCTGGTCTACATAATGAGTTTTAGGCCAGCCAGGGCTACATAGTGAGACCTTGTCTAAAAAAAGTTTTAAGTACAGAGATGTACTGAATGCATTAGGAAATTAGGAATAAATTAAGATGGATATTGAGTGACTTTGAAATGAAATTGGAAACTAGAAACTTAATGTGACACTGTGTGAAGTAGATAAGTAGATAAGAAACTAAGTTGTAACCTAGGAATTTATTAGGAATTTAGAAATTAGAAATTAAAGATGAATATTAACTCTGTAACTCTGAAACCAAATTGAACATTGCTGTGACACTGTGTGAAGTAGAGGCTAAGTTGTAACCTAGCAACCAAGTAGAACCTACGTGAGTTGGGTGCCTGTGTGTTGGTGATAAGTGAGCCTGAGAAGCCGAGAAGTTCCTAGTTTCTAGTTTCATTTCAAAGTCACTCTTAATATCCATCTTAATTTATTCCTAATTTCCTAATACATTCAGTACAAGAGAAAACCTGTATGTTCACTCCTTAGATTAAAAAATTGTTAACAACGTTTATATCTGATTTGAAATCCTTTTGCATTTATTCATTGTATGTGTGTGTGTGTGTGTGTGTGTGTGTGTGTGTGTGTGTATCTGCCACCACACATGTGGAGGTCAGAGGACAACTTTTTGAGCTGGTTCTTTGTATTATTTGGGTCCCAGAAGTTGAACTCAGGTTGTTTGGCAAGAAGTACCTTTACCCTCTGAGCCATCTTGCCAGCCCCTCATCTGAAACTCTTAATCTTCCTGCTTCATCCTCTCAAGGAATGAACCACCACACTGAGCTTCTGGAAAACATTCCTTCTGTAGTATTTGTATAATTTGATGGTTTTTTGTTTTCGTTTTTGTTTTTTTTTTGTGGTGCTAGTGATTGAACCTAGAGCCTTGTGCATGCAAGGCAAGCACTCTACTACTAAACAATACCTCCAGCTCTTCTGTAAAATTTGAAGAAATTCTTTCTTAATCTCAGCTTCTCTATCTACTAGGTAATTGTTTTCCTGTATTGGGGGACTTACTATATATCTAGGGGGAATTACGAGCAGACCAGGATAGAAAAAACTCATGACCTTAGATCTCCATTTTAGCTTATCTACAGAGAGTTGTGACTGCAAGGGAGGAAGAACAGGCATGTTTAACTTCCTTTGAATAGTCTCTGTGTCTTATAAACACAAAGGCCCTAAAGTCATGATTCTCAACCTTGTTGCACGTTTCAGTCACTTGGAGCTTGGCAAAGCTCCAGTGGCCAAGTCACACCCAGATCAGTTCAGTCAGAATCTCTGGAGGTGACAACTAGCTACTTAAAGCCCTCCACTTTCCCCGTTGTGCAGCCAATCTGAGGAACCTAGAGATCGAATGCCTTGGGAACAGTGACGTGGATGACCAATTCTTGTCAGCTCAGCAACATGACACGTTGGCAACTAGACATGTTGGCAAACTAGTTTTGTGATATCGTAAGCATTTTCAGAGATATAAGAGCATACAGGCACTTGAGTATCATTTATCTTTGA